TTCCTCATCTCCATCTAAACCTGCCCTGGTGCAGCTTGAGGCCATTTCCTCTTGTCCCATCCCTTGTTCCTTGGGAGCAGAGACCACCCCCCTCCTGGCTCCATCCTCCTGTCAGGGAGGTGGAGAGAGCGACAGGGTCCCCCCTGAGCCTCCACACTAAACCCCCCAGGTCCCTCAGCCGTTCCTCATCACACTTGTGCTCCAGGTTGGCAGCTCTTGGGCAACTGTGCACATGGATTTGCTCCCCAGGCTTGTGCTGCCAGAGGTCCCCTGTGCCACCTCACCATGTCTCCCCATGGGCAGCATGTGGCCCCCTCCTCCTGCCCGTGATGTGCCCATGGCACTGCTGCTCCCACATCCCACTTGCCACTCACGGCATCCCTTGGCCGCTGTTTCTCAGAAACCAATTCCTGCTCCTCACAGCCGTGCTGAGAAAGCCATCAAAGCAAGCACAGCACTACATGCAAAACAAAATACAGTCGAAGGGGCTTAATTATCCCAGGGTTGAAAAGACTTCAGCTCATTAGAGTGCCAGGCAGCCGGCCTTATTTGGCTGTGTGCTGCAATCCCTGCTCTGCCCGTGCCTGCAGCCGCGCACTGGTCCCTGCTGGGCCACGTCCACCGCAGGGCCCAACGCACGGACCTCCCCCGGGCCAAATCCACCTCTACCAGTGGGAAGGGGATGGCACCTGCAACGCGCTGCTTGTCCCCACACTGGCCTCGGCAGAGGGGCAGTGGCCAGAGCTGCTGGTGTCGGTGGCTAAAACATAAGCAAAGACGTGCTAGATGAAGGAAGCAAAATCTGCATGGTGTTACAGCGGAGACAAGCCCACTTGTGTAGAATTAAAGGCTAGACACACCTCACATGTTATTAGTTCTCAGCTAAATTTAAATCCCTGATAAATACAATCCCTGACAAAAACATCTGTAATCTTAATAGCCAGAGTCACAGAAGAGCTTTGGATGTGAGACAATGAATAAGCTGAAAAATTCTGGGCTAGGATGAGCTTTAAATCACTTCTGGTTCCTATTTACCTCTGCTGTTTCAGAGAGGATATTTGTGCCTCAAGGTGAGGCGGATATTAAGAGATGCTCTTCTAAAACCAACTCAGATGGTATCTTTTGTGTGAGCTGGCGTCAACAACCTACACGGGGCTTTGCAGTGACCATCACACTGACCCCCTCCCAGCACAGGAGCTGACCTCAGCCCAAAGGTAGGGCTCCTTTCAGCCACCCCATGTCTGACACCACACAGTGCCCCGTGCTGGGCAAGGGGCTGAGGCTGCCTCGGATGGGCTTGGGTGACTGGGGAGAGGGATTGGTGTCAAGTGAAGGAATGGGGAGACCATGGTGGCTGCTCTCAGCCACCTGCAGGAACCTGGGATGGGACTAAGCCCAAGCACCACCAAAGGGTTTTCAAAACTGAAGCCCTCCCACATTTACCCTGAGGAGGAACCATGCAACAGGTCTGAGCACCCCTGCAGGGTGCCCTGCCATGGCCCCAGCAGGTGCTGCCAGGCAGGATCAGACCCCGTCTATCTCACACAGCCCAGGGAGAGCTGCAGCCTCCGGCGTGAACGTGCCTCTCATTCCTCACATTAAAAAAGAGAATCAATAAAAGAAGAACCAGCTGCTGACTTGCTGCCTTTAGGCAACACACAAACCACTGCAGACCAAACCAGGACTCTGCTCAGAGCCCGGGCACCCACTGACCCGTCCTCGCCACCGCGCTGCCCGGGGACCAGAGCTCCGCAGTCCAGCCCGGTGGCACAGACGGGCGTGCTGGAGCCGTGCTGCCTCGGTGCTCAATGCAGCGGGACCTGCTGCGTGTCTCCGGCTGGGCTCAGCGCTGGCAGGAAAGATGCTGTTCTGGGCCCGTGCCTGGAAACGGAGCCTGGGAGCGCCGGCGTGCACGGGGTTC